ACAAAAACAACAAAAAGTTAACTTGAAGATAGACCAATAGGAATTATTCAGTGTAAAGATCAGAAAGAAAAAAAATGACTCAGTTATTATCAACACCAAGTGGTATTACATGCATATAATTAGACTCCTTAAAGGAGAATAGAAGTATAGTTGCACAGAAAAAATATTTGAGGCAATAATGGCTAAAAATATCTCAAAATAACAACAAAAAAAAAGCTGATAGATCTAGGAAACTCCCTGAATACTAAGTTGGTTAATTACAAAGGAAATCACACTTGGATGCATTATAGTCAAACTGCAGAGCAAAAATCATGAAGGCAAGTAGAGAAATGTAATGACACATAAGCAAAAATGATTAAAGTGATAACTGGCTTTTCATCAGAAACAAGAGGTTAATAGTCAATGGAATGGAAACGTTTAAAATGCCAGAAGGCAAAATCTGCCAGTCCAGAATAAATATCCTTCAAAATTAAAGGCACAATAGACATTTTCAGATAAATGAAAACTGAGAAAATTCAGTATCTACAGACCCACAAGGTAGAAACACATCTATAGTGTTTTAGTTATCCTACTATATAATAAATTTTAATAATAATATATTATTTAATCCTACTTTATGGCTCTGTTGGACTTAACTAAATGGTTCTTCTGCTCCTGGTATTATTAGCAGAAATCACTCATGTTGCTTCTTTCAGGTAGAAGTTTGACCAGAAATGGAACTTTCAAAATAGTTTTATTCACATGTCTGGCAACTCTGCTGTGGTGGCTGAAATGGTTGGGAAAGGACCATCTCTCTCCAACTGTTTTTTTCTTTTCTCAAAAGGCTTCACATATTACTAAGCCATTCTTAAGGTAATCAAAGAAAAAGGAAAATCAGATTCCCAATTTAAAATCCTCAACTGTCCAAACAGTGTTGACATTTTCAGTTTGATATTAAGAAAATGGTTGACCATGATGGAGCATAAATATGTGTATCATCTCGTGCAATTCCTTACAGACCCAGCTTGGTCCCCCAGGGTCTCCTCCTAGAGCTGTACCTGATTTTGTTACCAGTTTTTACTCAAATCCACTGGGGAATGAGGCAATTTTGTCCTTGTTTCTTGGCCAGGAATCACGTGATTCTGAAAGTCTTGTGAGAAGACATGGTGAGAAGCAGGGTCTAACGTGTGTACCATGAGGGCAGATAAAAAGCAGTCCAAATGTTTTTAATTATTAGTAATGTAGCCTAAACTTATTTGTTGCCTGGTTTCCTAGATGGTAAAAGTAGAAGGTGTAAGACATCTTAAGGCCCAGGCCTAGAATTGGTATGATGCCATTTTCACCATATTTTGTTAATCAAAACAAGTTAAAAGACCAGCCCAGATTCAGGGGGTGGCAAAATAGGGTCTTCTTAATGAGAGAAGCAACATGCATGTGCTATAATGTGAAGAATTTTTGGCAGCTGTTTTTAAAGGTAAACCACTATAAACAGTTAAGAATGAAAAGTACTGGAAATAGTAAAATGTAGGTAAATACAAAACGCAGTATGTTTGTCACCTTTTAATTTCTCCGAAAAACACAAGACTATTTAAAGCAAAAATAATAATGTGTATAGATATAACATATATGACAACAAAATCAAAAGGATTTGGGGAGGAGGTAAGAAGAACTCTACTACTAAAGGCTTTTTCACTTTATGAGAGTATCACACTTTTAACTCTAATAGACTGTGATAAGAATGTATATTATAAATCCTAGAAACACTGATAAAACAATGATATAAAGAGATATAGCTAAAAAACCAAGAAAGAAGTTAGAATGGAATACTAAAACATTAACTGAAAGAAGGCAGGAAAGAAAGAACATAGGAACACAAAACTAATGGGACAAATTGAAAACAAATAGAAAGATGACAGCATCAAATTCAATAATGTCTGTTGTTATAATTAATAAAAATGAACTAAACATACAAATTAAATGGACTGGGTTAAAAATAATAGGCATTGATTATTTGTTGTATACAAAGAAATCACATTAAATTAAAAAAACAGATTGGTTAAAAGTAGAAAAATGGAAAAAAGTATATATCATCCATAAAATAAGCTAAGAAGGCTAGTTGGCTATATTGATATCACATAAATTGGACTTAAAGTTATGGAGTTTGATAAGGAAAGACATTTAAAATCATAAAATAGTCAATTTTTAAAGACACCAGAACCATGACATCACTTGACCAAAAGTTTATGTGATAAATAGCAGAAAGTTAAAATATGTGAAAGAAAAGAGTGCTCATGGAACATTTGCAAGATAAGCTATATTGTGAACAATACAGTAAGTCTCAAAAACATTAAAATACTGAATTTCAGAATTTGTTTTCTGATTACTATTGAAATAAACTGGGTAGTTTCTAATAGGACTGGCCATAAAAACAAACAAACAAAAAGTAAAATATGCAAATTATCAATATTGGTATTTCAGTTATCTACTCCTAAAACAACCAAAATTTAGTGGCTTAAAACAACTACTACTTTATTACTCACCATTTTATGAGTCAGGAATTAGCACAGGGCTTAGCTCACTTGTGCTCCATCTGTTGTCAACTGGACTCACTCATGAAGATGCATTCAGCAACTGCCCTATTTAGGCTGCAAGGTCTGAGACGACGGCTTTCTTATGTCTGGAACCAAGGTGCTACCTGTTGGCTCCATGTGGTCTCTCTTGTGGTGTTTCATACTCCAGGGATCTTTCTTCATCTGGGCTCTCTCTCTAGCAGAATAGCCCAAGCTATTCTGCATGGCTCAGGGTACCAAACAAAGGAAAAAAAAAAAGATGTTAAGTTGTGTCTTTGAGGATACAGTCTTTCTCCAAATCTGAGTCTAGGCTAGGATCCTAGTCCATGTATTTCAGGGAGTTTATTACTGTATATAATTTTTCTCTGTACTATTCTATGAACTGCTTTTGTTTTTATGCTTTCACTTTTGCCATATTCCTTTTTTATTCATGTTATTAGTTATGATATATTGTAGTCTATTTATGATGATATCTTCTTAATTGGTTGTGTGAAGCTTGTACTTGAATAAATTATATAGAAGAGTTTCATGAGAGTAACATTCTCTAAACAACACTTTGACACTTTAAAAAATGTAATTCATCATCATATTAAGTTGCTCCTTGGTGCAAAGCAATTGTGAGAACATGTTCTTCCCCTTGGGATACTTTTTCTTCTAGGTCAGAGTTGAAAAAGCCTTTAGCATGCTTTGTTTTGCCATGTTTCATTTTTTGTCATGACACACATTTTTCTTCTTGTTGGATGTTATATAGTATAAATATTTTGACTTTATCACATTTTCTGTCAGAATTGTTCTATGGGAAGGGAAAGTGGTATGTAGGACATATAAAGACAGCAGTTCTTAATTTTATCTGTTTTATCTATTGCTGTCTAGAGATGTCCTAGAACTTAAAAGAAAGTCAGAAAATTCTTCCCCATTTTGATGAGAGAATGAATTTTGAGTCTCATAAAAATCAGTTCTGATTGGTTTTGGTGAAGTTTTCCTTTATGCCAATGGAAAAATGCAGCCAGATCAAGCCTCTAGACTAGAAGCTAATGACCATTTTATGTTGTGTGTGTGTCCTTGACATCACCATTTAGGTTAGCTTTGCCTGCAGAATTAGAGCATAGGTTTAAGCGAGGGCAAGAACTAATGCCAGAAAGAATAGAGGAAAGTACTTTTCTTGCAAGCCTATGACTACTGCATACTGTTTATGAAGAAAACACAGAATCATGTATTCATAGCATTTTATGAAATCTAGGTGCAAACTCTTATAAGACTCTTTAATCTCCATGATACTCAGATTCTACAAAAATAGTTCACTCATCAGGAAAATTCAGAGTTCTGCTGGAGCCTATGCCATTATCTGTGCAGCCTTAATTATGAATAATTTTTGTGTTAGCAAGTATTTTAGTATAACGAAATAAAACTAGGAAGAAATTTTGAAAGAGAAGAAGCACCTCCTGCTAGAAGTGCAGAGGTGAGAGACCAGCTCAAAAAATGGCTGAGAAGGGAGAGGGGCCTTTTGCAGGTTTTATATGCTCTGAGATGGGGAAATCTAGCAACCCTTAGCATTAGAAGACTCAGGAACTATGCAAGACAAGCCTTCCATTTTTCTGTTATTCTACCCATTTAAGGAGTCTTGTAGCTTCTTAACTTTTCAAAGGGGAAGGCAGATACAGGTAGCCCTTTTAAGTCTCCCTTTTCTTGTAACATAATTTCTAAAAACAGGTGGTGGAAAGGAGCTAACTGGTCTGGTTCTCTCCTCCCTCCCCCCAATTTCTACTTTTCCTCATATTTATGTGTGGATCTGACCCTTTTAACATTTATTAATTTTAATTTCTCTATTTCCTGGTCTGTCTATCCTCCCTCAATTTCACGTTTTAATCATCCTACTTTCGACCTATCTCATATATGGTTCGCAATGTTCCTCGTGAGCGTGGAGTCCACGTGGATCTCCAGAACAATCTTTATTGAAAAAAAGATTCTAGCCCAAATTGTGAAGAAAGTAAGTCACTTAAATCTAAAATGCAATTAAAAAGAAATCTGAAATAAGCAATTAAAACACTGACCCTGGATTTTTCTAATCAGAACCACCAGCAACGTCTCTGCACAGTGCATTGCAAACAAAGCCCACCTCAAGGGGCCATCATACTGAGAACCTCTGTGGTAAAGTGGCATTATGCGCTTCTTACTGCTCCCTTGCTGGCCACCGTTTCCTCTCCATACTCTCCGTTTGCAATGAGATTCTTCCATTTTACGGTTGGGACAGACTAAAATGTAAATCTGGAACCAAACTGCTGATAGGGGTCACGTCAGGATCACATCCGGAAGTCATTTCCGGGGTTGAGGTGCAGACAGAGGCATTCCCATAGCCAATGGAGGAGTTAGGGGCGGGGCTACGTCTGCGTGCCAAGTGAGCGCCCGTGGCTGGTTTTTGCGCATGCTCACATAAGTGCGCCGTCACTCCGCTTCCGGGGAGAGGTTCCGCGCGCTGTGGAGGAGGTGGCCAGGTTGGCTTTACTAGGAGCTCCAGGTGTAGCCCGGTAAGCGCCGGAGCTCTCGTTCGTATTTCCTGCATTTAAACTGGAACAGGGAGGGGCGTGTACGATTCACCCATACTTTCCTTCTGATATTTTCTCCTAATGCTCTGAAACCTTAAGTTTCTAGAATAATGACGTGGGGGAGTGGCGTGGAGCAACTTTAGTCTCTGCGGCAACTGTATTTACAAAGAATTAGGTTTTGAGGATTTGGGAAGGAAGCATTTGTGTTAGGATTCCTCGAAGTGCATGGTGGGTCAGATTCACATTCAAATGTTATTTCAAACTCATGCGCTGAACCCCTGAATTCGTTTTTTAAAAGGTTTACTCTGGGTGCAATATGGAGAAGCGAAGTTTGTGGCAGGACGAGTTAGAAAGTTAATGCGTTTGTCTAGACGGTTTGTAGGTGTCCCGAACTAGGGCAATACGTAGTGTGACCGGATCAGACGCTCCAGTACTCGATTTGGTATGGGGAATGCGGAGAGGGGGCCCTGAGTATCTTGAGGATCAGTTCCAAACTGAGTTTGGTATATGGATATCTTTCCAGTTCGTTTCCCACCCTCATCCCTTCCTCCCCACCCCTGTTCTAATCTTGCCAAGTAGTTTGAGGTCTTTGCATTTCCTCGACACTTTTTTATTTAAGAGAAAAGAAATTTGAAAGAAGAAATTAAATCCAGGGCTTGAACTCGGGGCTTTGTGCTTCCTAGGTAGGTGCTGTACCACTTGAGCCACCCCGCCAGCCCTTTTTTGTGATGGGTTTTTTGAGATAGTGTCTGGAGAATTATTTCCCTGGGCTGGCTTCGAACCTCAATCCTCCTGATCCCTCCTGAGCAGATAGGATTACAGGCATGAGCCGCTGGCGGCTGGCTTCCTCGACTCTTCCTTACGTTTTTTTGTCATGTTGGGCAAGTTACATGCTTTCATTAAGTCCCTCGGTTTTTTTCAGCATGAGCATGGAAGAAAACATCAGGATTGCTGTGAGGGTTAAATTACATAATTTATAGAAGAGGATGTAATAAGAGTCCAATAAATTAGTTACGTGACTATTCTTATACTTGTTATACTATGCATTTTGCTGTTTTCTTTGAGACTTGTGATTTTTATATTTAAGGGGCAGCATCTTATTTATGTTTGTGCTTGAAATATAGTAGTACTATACTCTTTTTAAAAATGGATCTGGCCAGGTGGCTTACGTCTGTAATCCCATATACTGAGGAGGCAAAGATCAGGAGGATGGCTGTTTGAGGCCAGCCCGTGTGGGCGGGGAGGGGGTTATTGAGACTACTGTCTCAAACAATAAGCTGGGCATGGTGGTGTGTGCCTACTCAAGAAGCAGAAATAGAAAGATGGTGGTCCAGGCTGTCCTGGGCAAAAATTCAAGACTATTCAAAAATAACTAAAGTAGAAAGAACTGAGGGCATGGCTTCTACCTAGCAAGCGGAAGGCCCTGAGTTCAAACCCCCAGTACTGTCAAAAAAATAATAATGGATAATTCATTTTGGATTGCTGACATAACTAAAATTATTTATTACTTTAAAACAGTTGTCAGATGCAATAAATTTTGCTTTTCAAGTGATATTTATTAGATGAAAAGGTGGCTGTTTTCTGTACAACTCAGAAGCCTGTAGCTTAGGATGTTTTGAAAGTAACTGATATTTTCAGTTTGGAATAGATATGAGTGATTTGAGTGATGAATTGACAAGACCTGTGACAGAAGATGAACAAGTGGAAACTTCTGTGATCTCTCATACAGGAATGCATTTTCCTTGGATTCAAAAGCAATTAGCAACTGTAGGTAAGCAAAGTATCAGGACCATTTTAAAGCAAAAAGGTGGTGAGAGTATGAATAAAGAATGAATAACTAACCTAGTTCTGTTTTCAAATTTTGAATATGTGAGGGTTTATTTTTTAGGCTGTAAACAAAAATGAAGTCATAAGAAATACTCTTTATTCTTTAGAATCACTTCCTTTGAATTAATATAAATATAATATGTAGTCTGTATTATGGTAGATAGACGTTTGTTTTCAGCAGTGCTCACTGAGCTCTGGCACTGGCTAAATATAGGGGACTAATAGCTTTGACTATTGGCTGAATTCTCTAGGAGTTTAACTCTAGGAAGGAGTATGTAGAAAGTTAGAAGATCTGCAGTTTGTTCACAAGTATCTTTGCATAGTACCTATTGGTCGTTGTATAGTTGCAGAGGTAAAGTTACATAGCCAGAAGACTGCTGGCCCGGAAGGGCCTCATAGTTAGAAGGGAAGAGAAGATATCCAGTAATAAGTCTTATAATTGGACTGTAACTAAACCCAAATACCCCGAGTGTCTGGATTGTTTGTACTTTATAGAGAGATAAATGCTGATGTCTACAACTGTTTTAATCTTACACGTTCAATATCATTGAATTGCTGAGAAGTTGGTCCTTAAATAATAAAAGCCCTTTGAAGTTTTCAGAGCATCAGTAGGTAATAAAGGCCATGCTTGTTTAGGCTGACCCTACTGATTTTTAAATACTGGGGCCTGTTCTTTTAGGGGGTCTCTAAGAGATTCTCCCCAAATTGTTTAGTTTAAGGATGAAAGAATAATTGAATCAGATTTGAAGGATCTAGTGACTCTGGTAGCCCAAAGATACCAATGTAGGGTTTTTGTTTTTTGTTTTTTGAGACAATGTTTCTCTAAGTAGCACAGGCCTGCCTTAGCCTCCTAAGTGCTGGGATTGCAGGTGTGCAACACCATGCCCAGCTTAGTTTTCTTTCTTTTTTAAAAAATTCACTAAAAATAGTATAGTGTGGCAGGATTTTTTTTTTTAAGTTAGGTTGGCTTTGGTATTGGATATGGGCTGGGTCAAGTAATACCTACTGTTCTACTTATTAAAACTTGTACTTAACAAAATTAAGTTTTTTGAATAGCTAAATTGGAGTCACTGGGTAAAAGCTCTTCTGTTTTGTCTTTGCAGTGACTGGAGGGAAAAAGGAGAAGGATTTTACTCAGACAACAAGTGCTTGCTTAAGTTTTATCCAAGAAGCTCTGCTGAAGCACCAATGGCAGCAAGCTGCAGAATACATGCACAGTTATTTGCAGATCTTGGAAGATTCAGACAGCTCCAAAAAACAAGCTGCACCTGAGGTAAATAGTATGAGTCTGCTGGAAGAAAAACAGATGCCTGGGAATTTCAGCCTCCAGCCCCACCCAAAATAGTTTGTGTAGGTTCTCAAAGTGACTTTACTAAGAGTTACTAAAAAGTTTATTTTGTGTGAAGAGTTTATATCAGGACATTTTTTGCACACTTCTTTCCTATTATTATTTTAAAAGGAGTCTAAAAGTACTCTGAACTCTGAATTTGTAGATTCCCCAGTATTCATTCATTCTTTCCCTTCCTACAGAATTGGCCCATCACAATATACAGCAGTTGTTAATTATTCTATGTTAAAATCGTCTTTGGTCTCCACTTTCTGTTTTCTACTCTTTTTTTTTTTTTTTTTTTTTTTGTGGCATTGAACCCAGAGCCTCACGCTCAATAGACAGGTGTCCTTACCATTGAGCCACTCCACCAGCCCCTGTTGCCTACTCTTTCTTTTAGTAAAACTCCTTTAATAAGTGTCCTGTTTCTCCAACCAGAGTGATTTTTTTTTTGGTTCTTTTGACAGTTTTATCAAAGATGTAATTAGCCTACCATATAATTCACCCACTTAAATTATGTAATTTCATGTTCTTTCATATTTTCACAGAGTTATGTAAACATTACCAAAATCTAAATTTAGGACATTTTTATCCTGTACAAAAAGAAACTCTGTACCCACTTTCAGAAGCCCTTTTCCATTCTTTCCCCATGATACTTGCCAATTTAACCCTCATGTTTTTGCTTATTATTCCTCTAGCCCTGTTTAGCCCCTGATATACTCTCTATGTGGGACATCTCATATAAGTGGAATCATAAATTTAACGAATGGCTTCTTCATTTCGCATGTTTTCAACACTTATCCATGTTGTAGCATGTATTGGTACTTCATTTCTTTGTATTTTAATTTATTGTCAATGACAAGTCCATTATATGAATATACCACATCTATGTATCCATCAGTTGTTAGATATTTGGGTTGTTTCTACTTTTTGGTTATTATATATAATGTTCCTATGAGCATTCATATCCTGTATTTTTTTTGTGTGGGTCTAAAAAAAGAAAAAGTGGAAGGGGGAGTAGAGGTATAGCTCATGCAGTAGAACCTCTGCCTCCTAAACATGAAGCCCTGAGTTCAAACCCCAGTATTGCCAGGAAAAAAAGTTTTTTGCATGGATGTTTGTTTTAATTGCTCTTGGGTATATACTTAGGTGTGTAATTGCAGGTCAGATGGTAACTATGTGTTATCTCTTGGGATACTGCCAAACTACTTTCCAAAGTGACTGCACCATTTTATATTCTATTCCCATCAGCAATATTTCCAGGGTTCTAATTCCTCCACATCCTTGCCAACATTTGTTCTTTCTCTCTCTCTCTCTCTCCTTCTCTTTGTAATGCTGGAGTTTGAACTCAACCTCACATTTGCTAGGTAGGGTCTCTACCACTTACCTTTTTGATTGTAGCCATCCTAATGGGTATGAAGTGGTATCTCATGGTTATGATGTACATTTCATTAATGACTGATGACGCAGATTCAGTCTTTTAAAACATAAGTTAGGTCATGTCCCTCCTCTGCTGAAAACATCATAGTGGCTTTCCATTTCACTCAGGGTAAAAGCTTTACCTACAAGGTTCCTACATGATGTGCTCGCTTACTTTTTTGTTGACCTCTCTGACCTCATCTCCATTACCGTTTCACCTGCTTTTTCTTCTCTAGCCTCACTGGCCTTGCTCTTACTATTATGACATATACTCTTGCCTGATTGCCTTTGCCTTGGCAATTGACTTAGGAGGATCTGTCTTTAGCTGTCACTATGGCCACCCTTCTACAAGGTCCGTTTTCAGTGAGGTCTGTGAGTTCTGTCCTATTTAAAATTGTGATTATATTTCTCCTCCATCCCTACTTTTGGACTGGACTTCTCATCTTTTATTGTCTATCTCTCCAAGTCTGTACTGAACATACATTTTAGAGGGCAGTGATAAAACAGTACCAGGCATTAGTTCAGAGATTAAAGTTATACTTGTTCAGGAAAAGGCAATTTGTCCACAAACAATTTCACAAACAATTTCAAATAGCTTTTACTAATACAATAACCACTTAATCAATTGGTTATCTAATGGAGTAAAAAATATCTGAAGAAAAAAGTTTAGCCATTGATTGGAATTTTAGTTTATGGACTAGAGTTATATACATACATAAATCACACAACTTACAGACCTCTTTTTGACTGGGTTTAGTTTTGTAAAGTGAAGGAATTGGATCAGCGGCTTCCAGATAATTGTTCCTAATTGAATCACATAGGGCTTATGTTAAAAATACAGGTTCCTGTAATTATACTGGTCCTATGAAATCAGTCTGAATTCTTAGAATAGTTATTTTAACAGGTGTTCATGCCTTGATTTAAGTGCTACACCACAGAACTGCACTCCCAGCCCTCTCAAGTTTAAGTTCTCCAACACTATAGTTTGGTATTCTATAAATAAAATTTTGATCATTTATTTTTCTGAGTTGAGAAAATAAGATTATCATTATATTAAATAACTAATGTGTCTGTTCAAAGAAGCAATTAGCATGAAGTTGATTTTAATTTACTTTAAACTTGATAGTATTGAAATAGTTTAAGTTGAGGTAAGAGAAATAGATGTTTGCTCCCATGACAAATGATGAATTCTAAGTTCATTCACCAAGTTATGGTGATCTGATAAAAAAATATATATATACTTTTAAAATTTGTCCGTGTCTGACCAAAATTCTTAGATTTATAAAATAAATATACTCAGTATTGATGGGATCACTTTAGTCTGGCTAGCCTGGTTTAGAAACATCTAGTCTAGTCTTACTTTGCAGAGGAAAAAAATGAGAAGGTGATCAGTGAAGAAGCCAATAATACTACAACGTGTTTTCTAATTTATTCTTCTTATATTAATAAGAATTGTGTATTTAATATGTATCTTAACTGCCTGCACTTTTAGGCTGCTAAATTAATGACACATTATACTTAACCTGCTATTTTTAAATTATTAAAAATATTTTATCATCTAAGATGTAATATTTGTTCTTGGGTAAAGTACAGTAAAATACTGATAGTAGTGATGTCCATGAAAAGGAATTGTAGCTTGTTTTTACATGTTGTAATCAGAAAAAATTTATAGTCAGAAATTGAATAAGGCAAGGACTTTATATTTTGGTAGTAATTTCTGCTTTAACAGATTATTTGGAAGCTTGGAAGTGAAATTCTATTTTATCACCCCAAAAGCAACGTGGAGACTTTTAATACCTTTGCTGACCGAATGAAAAATATTGGTGTCTTGAACTATTTAAAGGTGAGTATGTACATTTGTAGAGTTTGCTTTTCTTTTCTTTTTTTTTTAATTGTTTCTTCATTTATTCATATGTGTATACATTGTTTGGGCCATCTCTTCCCCTGCCCCCCAGCCCCACCCCTTACCCCTCTCGCCTCCAGGCAGAACCTGTTCTGCTCTCTTCTCTGATTTTGTTGAAGAGAAAACATAAAAGATAATAAGAAAAACATAGCGTTTTTGCTAGCTTGAGATAAGGATAGCAATACAGAGAGATTCCTAGCATTGCTTCCATTCACATGTGTATTACAACCCGAATTGTTTCCTTTACTTCCAGGTCACCTCCCATAGTGGCCTCTGTCAGTTTAAGATTACTTTATTTGCTTCTCTGCAGTTTGCCTAGCCTAACTTTGAACCTTGATCCTCCTGATCTCTACCTCTTGGGTAGATAGGATTCCAGGTGTGAGTCACCAGTGCCCAGCTTGTTTTTTTGAGATGAGGTCTCACTCCACAGCCCAGGCTGGCCACTTGAATTCTTGATCCTCATGCCTCAGCCTTCCAAATGTTGGGATTATAGGAATGTACTACCACACTCTTCAGAGATTGAAGTTACATTTTATTATGATCATTGCCAAATTTTAATATTTGCTTAGGCTATTTGAGCTGAGGTGTTTCTGGAAAAAGTGAAACAATTTGGAAATTTGAATATAGGATGTTTCGTAGAACCTTCTCTGATTTCATATATCTTTTAATAAAAGTCTTACCCAAAATAGTTGAGACATTTCCAACTATACCTTCTCTGAGGTATAGTTTTAACTGAAAGAGCACTTTTTCAATTTTTTTTTTGGCAGTACTAGTTTAAACTCAGGGCCTTATGCTTTCTAGGCAGACAGTCTGCCACTTTAATAACGTTTTATGAATAATTTGCTTTTTAATTTTTTTCAAGAATGTAAAGTTTTATTAGAACATAGCCATACTATTGATCTCTACATTGTCAGTAGCTATTTTTGAATGACAGTGGTAGAGTTCAGTAATTTTGATGGAAACTACATGGTTTACAAAGCCTAAAATATTTACTCTTTTTTAAATTTGTTTTGCTTTTACTTTTTGTATCTCTCACAATTTTTATTGCAATTGTGCTTAAATATATAAATGTCATATATATTAGAATGTATATTATATATAATTTATATATTATAACATAAAGCATGGTATTTCAGCCATCTTAAGTGTATAGTTTAGTGGCATTAATTATATTCACAGTGTTACGTCACCACTGTACAAGTTCAGTGTACAGTTTGGTTTTTTTTGGCAGTGTGGGGGTTTGAACTCAGGGCCTCACGCTTGATAGGCAGGCACCCTACCACTTGAGCCACTCCACCAGCACTTTTTTGTATTGGGTACTTTCGAGATAGGGTCTCTCGAACTATTTGCCTGGGCTGGTTTTAAACCACAATCCTCCAGATCTCTGCCTCCTGAGTTAGGATTACAGGTGTTGCCCAGCTTCACTTAGCATATTTTTAAGATTTATTCATCTCGTGGCACATATCAGAACTTTATTCCTTTTTCTAGCTGAATTGTAGTCTATTTTATATTGCCTATTGTAGATCCGCTTATCTGTTGTTATTTTCATATTTTGGCTTTTGTGAATCATGCTTTACTGAATATTTGCATGCAAATATGTTTGGATTCCGTTTTGAATTTCTTTGAGTATATACCTAGAAGAATTGCTAAGTCATTACACATACATATCACACCCCACACAATTCTATATTTAATATTTTTAGAAATTATCAAACTGTTTTCCATAGCAGCTGGACCATTTTATACCTTTCTAATTTTGAAAACAGATTTCCCCAGTTTAGAGTTCTTAGGGCTTACTAGTTAATTTAGGAAAAATTTCCTGAATATGTACTTATGTCCCAACTGCTCCTTTAGTGATCTTGCTCATTGGTACAGGTATACTACAAGTGCAAATTAAGTTGAGGTGACTCTGGTTCCACTTAGGGGAGAGTTTTCTAACAGTTGGGCAAAGGAGCAGCCTGCCTTATGTTGTGGGTTCCTCATCTGTTTTTTTCAGGAAGAAATTGGATAGTTTGTGATTGAGTGTAATTTTAAATTACACACTTTTTAAAAATTATTGGTTAAGTCCCTTTCAGCTCATAGAATCTGCCTACTAGAAGTAAAGAAACTATGGGGAACCTCATTTCTCACTCCAGAGTCTGAGGACAGTAATTAGGATAAGTAACAAAGCATTTTTTGTGCTAATAATTTTAAAAATACCATTTCTGTTTTCTGTGTAATAGACATGGTTCTTGCTATAGAATAGGACAGACAGATAAGTGGGATAAAGTGTTATAGTCACCACAGTAGGAATGCAGTATATATATGTAGAGAGAAAATAAAGGAGAAAGTGACCAGCCCTCAAACTGAAGAGGGTTAGGTTTGAATGGATAGGGAAACTAGGAAGAGAAATGAAATGATGCTTGAGGTGAGTTTGAAGAAACAACTGGGTGTTCACTAGGTGGACTAAAGGAAAGGTATGGTAAGGAGTAATAAAGAGTTAGCTTTGTATCTAATGATTTTGTTCCTCCAAAAATCACTTGGGTAGAAGCCAGGGAAAGAAGACTGGGCCCTATCTTCATTCAAGGAGCTTGGATTTTATCCTGTAACTAGTGGGAGCCTCCCATGAAGGGTTTTACCAAATGACTAAGATGAAATTTCTGACCAGGTGCTAGCTCTCAGGGGGCAGAGATCAGGAGGATCGCAGTTTGAAGCCAGCCTGGGCAAATAATTTGTGAGACCCTATCACTCCTATCCACTGGTGGAGTGGCTCAAAGTGAAAGCTCTGAGTTCAAGCCCCAGTACTGGGGGGGGAAAAAAAAAAAAAAAGATGAAATTTCTTTAGTAGCCCCATGGAAGATGGATTGTGTGGGGCCAGGAATAGATCAGTTGAGAAGTATTTCAACAGTTTAATTTGAGGGTCATGAACTTTATGATCTGCTTCTACCACCTATGTGTTTCATTGTATTTCCGATGACTCTCTTAATGTTCTCCGTTCTTACAGTGTTCATTCTTTGATTATTTTTATTGCTTCTGTATCAGGGATACACTTTCCTTCCCATCTGATTATAGTCATTCTTCAACACTCCTTAAGATGTCGTTTCAGCTTTTTTGACATGAATAAGGTAGTTATATTACTGTCTGCTATAGTCCAAATTAGGCATTAGGGGTATGCAAAACACTGTCCAGGAAGGTTAATGATAATTGCCTCACAAAAAGGTAAATAACCTATTTAGGCTTATGTAGTTTTTAAGTAGTATATGAACCACGACACTCTGTCTTTAAATCCCGTTTGTTTTCACTATAGGGCACTGTGTTTTGTTTGTGAGTTTACATTATAGTGTTGGTAGTTTCATATGTCTCTTGCTAAAGTAAAAATGTTGGTGATGGGGACTTGTATCCTACAAGGAATTAACCCTGCAATAAGTAGTATATTTATTGAGCTTTTTGATTAATGCTTATTTAATGACTTAAGGGACACTGGGCTTTTTTTTGTTGGCTCAGATCTCCTTACAACATGCATTGTACCTTCTACATCATGGAATGCTTGAGGATGCAAACAGAAATCTAAGTCAGGCAGAGACATGGAGATACGGTGAGAAGTCGTCTTCCCAGGAAATACTAATCAATCTTGTTCAGGCCTACAAAGAGCTTTTGCAATATTATACTTGGTCTCAAAAGAAGATGGAATTGTCAATGCTTGGTGAGTAACTATAAATAAACTTTTCTTCTGATAAAGACAAAGAAGGGCAGAAGGGATCTTAAGGAGTCATCTAGTAATCCTCTCACTAACTTAAGATATTACAAAGAACAGACATAACTGGTTTTATTTTCCTGGTTGTCTTTATAACATTTCTGATAAAGCAAAAAACTTTTCAGTCATAAATTAGATAATTCATTATTAAGTTCATCACCAATTTAAATTCATTGCTCTTAATGTGATTTTGTCAAAGATAGCCACAGGTAGACTTTAGTCAGAGTGGTGAAAACAAATTTTATTCAGTAACTTCCAACAGTAGGGGAAGTAGCTAATCTCCATGCCAATTTGTACAAAGATGAATGAGTGTTTTAAAGGAAAAAAAAAAAAAGTGACAGGGCCTTGAATCAAGTCAGGGAAGTGAGAAATTAAAGCAGAAGGGGGAGGTGGTGTATGTGAAACCTATCTGGATTTACTAACCACTTACTGAAGTTAGGCTCCACCCCTCCCAAAGAGGATGGGAACCAGGGGCCCTATCTGCAGGTATTGGCTGGAAATAACAGTAAATTCTTTTGGCAACTACTTTAAGTGGGGGGGCGGGGGGGGTGGTTAGGGTCATGCCGCAATACAGCTTTGAGCAGTTAGAAATTATCTCAGTGTTTTTTCAATTCTTTATAAAAGACTTGAACCCCATGGTTGGGGCCTCATCCAGAAGAGGACTCAGGGGTGCCTAGCTGGAGTTTGGTCAAAGATAAAGTCTTTCTCAGTTTCCAAGAAAGTTTAGGAATTTTATCCAGCAACCATTATTTGCATGTAATATTTCTTTACTGTATGTTTAGAATGGAGTTTAGTTTCTCAGAATAATATGTTTAAGGAATAGGGTAAAATAAAGGGGTTTATTTCTCCATGAAGATTTCACAGTTTCCCTGATTAATTGACCACATCAAAAATTGACAACTCGGTATTCAAACTGAGTTCCCCTTCTCTTAACCTCCCTTGGTAGTATCATCCTCTCCTACTCTTAGGTTTGCATTCTTTTAAGCTGTAGGATTCTCTGTATGTTTCCTCTGTGACCTCTTTAGAATGAACCTTTTTTTTTCATGTCTTTATCCAAATCTTAGTCATGGTACTTAGCACTTCCTATGTGGTAAACACTACTTCCATATTATCCTTTTGTGATAAGTAGTATTTCCTTGGTTTCTGAGAACCAGTCTTAATTCCTTTTTCTCTTCTTGTCTTGCCTCTTCTTATCTCACAACGTACTTCCGATATGCTGATTTCATCAGGTTAGTTTTCTGAGGTCTTTGCAGTCTCCTCATCTAGAATACCTTCCGCCCTTCAAGACTCGTTGGACCCTTTGCCCATCAACTCATTTTTAGTCCCTTAAACCTGTATCGGTTGCATCTTTAGTCTTTATCTCTTGCTTTTAATTGTTCTGAGTTTGTTTTGTTTGTTTGTTTTTGATGTATTTTTTGTTGTGTCTTCCTAGCTAGACTAAACAATCTTTTGATGCACCTATCCTCTATTTTTCTTAACTTTGCTGATTTCTGGTGTAGTATTTCATTTTTAAAAAGACTGTGTACCAGGCATGGTGGTGCATATCTGTAATCCCAACACTTGGAGGCTGAGTCATGAGGATTGTGAGTTTGAGGCCATCCTGGGCCACAGACCCTGTTTCAAAAAGCAAAAAATGAAACAAACAACTTCATACTGATATTAATTGATTAGATGACCTGTAAAGTCATTATTACTTTTTTTCTTAACACACATTTAAGTAGACTCAAACAAATATTTGGTGACTAAAACAGTTAGAACCTGACATTTAGATTGTGGATAGATACATCAGTGTGTTCTGCAGTTCACATTTTATTCTGTAGCAGCAAGGTTTAATGATGGGACAATGTGGAGCTTTTTAGATGATCTTTAACCTTAACTGTCTATTGAATGAGAAAAACTTAAGACTAGTTCTGTATAACCATGACAACTTAACTTGTGAGCTTATGCCTGGGATTTTTCCTTGCTGCTCTGTCTTTGTTGGATTTTATGTACTTGGTGACTCGCAACTTCCTTCTTCAAACCTAATTTGTACTTACAGATCTTCCTTTTGTTTTCTATATTCTTTTAAAAGTTCTTTCCTCTATCATTTCTTACCTGCTTTCCTTATCACCTAATCAATCGCCCAGATTGATTATATAATTCAGTTCATCCACTGGGAAGATTATTAATGCTTCTTTTTATTTTGAGGTGTCATGTTATATGGCTCTTAGCTGTTGCTTTTGAAAGACTGAGTAAGTTTCCTTTTGAACCATTAAGATTATGAAATATAACATATACAGGAAAAGTATATGAAACAAGTGTATCTGATATATGAATAAATCTAAAACCCACATCCTTATAAATACTACTCAGGTTAAGGAGAACAACATTACTGTCATCCTTAACCTGAAAGCCTCCCATATGCCTTCCTGATCACATTCCTTTCCACTCTGTCTCAAGTAATCACTGTATTGACTTTTATGTATTTACTGTCTTGCTTTTCTTTATACTCCTTCAGCTTGTGTAGGCAACTGTAAACAATGCAATTTAGTTTTGCCTCTATCTGAATTTTTAATATTTGAATTCATACTATGTATATTTGGTGGGGGGCTTACATATTTTGTTCATCATTGATTTTTAAGATACATATTGTTGAATGTAGTGGGAGTTGATTCATATTTTTTTTACAGTTATAAGATATTTTATTGTATGAAAGTCATACTAATTATTCCATTTACTATTGATAGCCATAATTAATTTCCTGTGTGTGTGTGTTACCTTTTAGGTTAATTCTTTTTAATCTAACCTTTTCTCTAGTTCCTCCTGGTCCCCTTTTCCTATTGGCCTCAGTTGC